TCTATGTCAATTGGCATCACAAACCTTATTAAGAAAATGTTCTGCATCCTACTTCGGTGAGTGGCATCTGGGGTCTTAAAAGCTTGCAAGCGGCCATCTAAGATGCATCAATTGGTCCCAGCCACTTGGAGTAAAGGAGAACGAAGAACACCAAAGACTCAAGGCAAGTATTGGCCCAAGAGACAGAATGGGCCACATAAACCAGAGACTTCATTAGTCTGAGACCAGAAGAAGTAGATGGTGCCCGGCTACCACCAATGAACATCGTGACAGGGAACACAACAGAGGGTCCCTGATGGAGCAGTAGAACGATGGGATGCAGAACTCAAATACTAGTAAGAAGACCAGACCTAATGGTCTGACTAAGACTGGAGGCGCCTCAGAAAGCATGGCCCCTGGTCTCTCCATCACCCCAGAACTAAAACAATTTCTGAGGCCAACTCTTCAGACAGGGATTGGACTGGACTGTGGGACTCATGAAGAATGTGCCTCTTAGACAAGTAGGTATAAGAGACCAAAGGGGCGGCTTCTGTCCAGAGGTGAGAGGGGAAGGCAGAGAGAGTTAGAAGCTGGTTGAATGTTCATGGGGAATCAGGGGCGGAGGGGAGGAGTGTGCTGTCGCAGAATGGGGTGAGCGGTTGGGGTCTCATAACAATGTATGTTAAAAAAAAAAAAAATTCTGTATGGGAGACTAACTTGAAATGTAAACTTCATTTAATTACATCAATAAAAAAATTTTAAAAAATCAACCATTGAACACCCTATAGAACACAGTTCTAGTCTGACACTCATGAGGTTGCCGTGAGTCAGAGCTGACTCGACAGTAACTGGTTTTTTATGTGGCTAGTGGCTACTGTATTGAGCAGAACAAAACTAGGATATTATATTCAGACTTTTTAGATTATAAGTGACAGAAACCAGTGTATCAGCATGAAAATATTTATCTTTGCTTATGGGAAAGATCAGGTTAAAATTTATAGACACACTATATTACAACTATATTAAATTATGCATAAGAAAAAAAGAGTAGAGGAAGTACACCAAATGGTCGCAATGGTTATGTCCAAGTTGTGGGATTTTGGATGCTTTTTCTTTTCTTCTCAATACTTTTCATCATTTTGCAAATGTCCTGCCACTTTTCTAAATGTCCTATAGCCTTTCATCATCAAAAAAGTGAAAGTTATGTTCTAAAAACACATTTAAAATCTTGCTTTCTCAGCATGCCAGTGTGAAGGAAAAGATAACCGAATTCCATTACTGAAGGAAGTTTTTGAGGCCTTTCCTAACACTCCTGTTAACATCGATATCAAAGTTAACAACAGTATGCTGATTAAGAAGGTACTTAAGGCATTGCCTCCTCTGGGTGTGTTGCATCAGTTTTCACAAACTAAATAGGGCTAGACTAGGTGACTGCATAGATTGTCAGTGCTGAAGGAAATGAGATACTGGAGGGATCAGCATTGTTTTAAATAATGCCCTGGTGGAAAAGATCACTGTACTGTAGGAGAGCCCGTTTTCTGAGACAATTGTCATGTCTCGGTCATGGAGAAAAGTGAACTCCTGTGAACCAATCATGCTGCTATTTATATAGTTAACTTCTTGTTTAACTTGTTTCATTTGTAGTTGGTTTATGTCAAATTCCAAAATAGTTGCATACTATTTAATAAATTGTATAATGGTACAATGTAAATAATTTCTTATATTTTATAAAGTAGTCTGAATTAACATAGAGGTTCTTCCAAAATTTTATACTATCCACTGGCAGATAGTCAGTTGTAATCCGTTTTTAAAGTGAAATAATGTAAATGGGTTAACGAACAGACACATGCATAAAATCTTGAATTTTCACTCGCAGGTTTCAGAATTGGTGAAGCAGTACGAACGAGAACACATAACAGTGTGGGGTAATGCCAGTTACAAAATTGTAGAAAAGTGCTATAAAGAGGTAAGTTTAAAAAAAAACACACAGAATGAGCTATCTTTGTCATTGTTGAGTATCTATAAGTGATAGGTTATTATAGTAATACTTTTTTTTTTTTTAATTTCATAGCCTTGATACAAAGACAGATGGTACTGGGTGGAAGTAACTAGACAGGAATTTACTAATAGAGATAATGGATTTGAACTTTGCAGTTTTAGTTCAGTGTAATTGGATTGGTTCACAGAATTATTATTTTCACATACCAATATTTATTAGTTGTTTACCAACATCTTATTATTACATTATAAAACAAAATATGATTTCTGTCTTTTAATTTTTATTCCTTGTTAGGTAATTGAAATTTTTTGTGTAAGTTTGAATTAAGGAAGTGTGTTTTATCTCTCAACTCTATAGCCCAAGCTTCTCTTTTCCCTGTTCCCCAAATACCAAACCAAAAACCTGTTGCCATTGACTCGATTCCGACTCATAGAGACCCTATAGACAGAGTAGAACTGCCCCATAGGGTTTCCAAGGAGCAGCTGGTGTATTCAAACTGCTGATCTTTTGGATAGCAGCTGAGCTCTTAGCCACTGAGCCACCATGGCTCCAAATGGGCTTAATCAAATTAAATCAGGATCATGATAATCAGGTGGGATAAAAAAGCAGGGCTATCCCACCTGAAAATTTTCTAGTTAAAGAAAATATGTCTATAAGAAATTAATTCGTAAGGTCCCAGTTAGAATGGATAAAAAATGTAGAACAAAATTCAAATTAAAAAAAAAAAGATGACCACCAGACTTAACTGGTCTGAAAGAGACTGGAGGAACTCCTAAAACTATTGCCCTAAGACAACCTTCTAACTTGAAACTGAAGACACTCCTGGAGGCCACCTTTCAGCCAATTAATAGATGGGCCTGTAAAATTAACAATAACACCTATGAAGAATGCTCCTTACAACAATCAACTTACGATACCAGAAGGGCAACATTTGTTCAAAACCAAAGATGAGAAGGCAGGGAGGGACAGGGAAATCTGATGAATGGAAATAGGGAACCCCGGGAAGAAATGGGGAGAGTGCTGACACATTGTGGGGATTGCAGACAATGTCACAGAATAATTTCTGTATGAATTATTAAGTATATGCTATGTAAACTTTCACCTAAAGCACAATAAAATATTTTAAAAAAATTAATTTGGGGAAAATGCAGAACAGAATTTCAAGGTTTCATGGACTGCAGACTTTCTGGAACCCTGGAGGCTGGATGACTCCTGAAACTATTGCCCTGAGATAATCTTTAAACCGTAAACCAAAAATATCCCCTGAAGTCTTCTTAAAACCAAACAGTTGTTTAGCTTAACTAGTAAAAAAAATGTCTGCCTTGAGCATTATGCTCTTTTAAGAACTATGTGGGATCAAGTTGACATCAGCAACTCGAAAGATTAGATAGGAACCTTAGGGGGCAGTGAGTTTATGTTAATTGAGGAGGAACAACTTAGAAAAGGAGGGTGAGACTGGTTACACACCTCGAAGAATGTAATCAGTGTCACTAAATTGTACACGTAGAAGCTGTTGAATTGGTGTATGTTTTGCTGTGTATATTCTCAATAACAAGAACAAAATAAATAAAATTAAATTAAAAAAAATTTAATTTGAAATGGTGTGCCAGACCTCCATAAGCAGGTTTAGCTAATATGGTCACCTAAGAGAATTCCAAATTCAGAATGTTAAAAAAATCTTAAGCATTGAAGACTTTCTTTTCAGAATACAAATGAGGGGCCCTGGTGGCACAGTGGTTAAGAGCTCGGCTGCTAACCAAAAGATTGGCAGTTCTAATCCACCAGTCACTCCACCTGCCCCTATGGGGCAGTTCTACTCTGTATTACAGGGTTGCTATGAATTGGAATTGACTCAATGGCAACAGGTTTGTTTTTGGGTTCCTTCCTAGCAAAGAAGGCAAAAACAGATTCAAGATCAGCACCATTTTAACTCAGAGAACACTGAAGTCCTCATTAAGGCAAATAAGTTTTATTTACATGTAGCAGACTCTGTGAGAACCCAAGGTAGCTTCTGTAAAAGCTCTTAATTCCTTTTAAGAGATCTGGGGTTTCTGTTTGGAGTAATGAAAATATCCTCTAATTATATAGTGGTGAAGATTGCACAATATTGTTAAGTGTACTAAAAGCCACTGAATTGTACACTTTAAAATGGTTTAAATGGTGAATTTTATGTTATGTAAATATTAACTCAATTAAAAACAAAACAAAACTACCCTCCCCCACCCCCGATGATGAAAACTGAATAAGGTCTGTAGTGTAATTAACAGTAATATATCTAATGTCAAGTCCTGGTTTTGATACTGTATTGCCGTTACATCAGAAGTCATCATTCAGGGAAGCTGGGTGAAGGATTTTAGGATCTACTATTTTTGTAACTTCCTGTAAGCCAATAATTATTTCAGAATAAAAGATTCCCTTTTGGCTCAGAATCACAGAACTTCTCCCTTGCTCACACAGTTTCCCAGAATCTTCTGGCTTTCTGTCATTTTAAAATTTGAAAACTCCAAAATTTTTAGCAGTTATTTTCAAACATCACAGTAAGAATGTCTGTACAATGTGCCAGTCATATTATCAGCATGCTATATAATTAAGTCGTGCATCTTTTATAATTATTAAAGTATGATTTATAAGAACTTTACATTAGCCTTTTAATTCTAGATGTTAGAAATTAAGAACAAAAAATAAAAGGAAGAATGGCATACAGTGGTCATGGGAAAATATGTATCAATTACTCTCATTTAATGATTTTTTAATTCATTCAGTACCTCTGCAGTGGTTCTTACACTTGGCTGTACATTGGAATTAACTGAACAATTTCAAAAAACAGTAATGCCTAGGTCTCATCCCAGGCATTAGTATTTTTTGAAATTGTTCAGTTAATTCCAGTTAACTGAACATTGCCTGGGGTCTCATCCCCGGCATTCTGATTTAATAGAATACAGGGTATGGTCTGTTGTTAAACACTTGCCAGCATACCATTCCCTTTATCCCCCCACCTCCAGCCTTGAATGGCTCTCCAAAAGTACCAATTATTGTTTTTAGTGCTCTGGTTCCAGAGTTGCATAAGTTTTGAGTGATCAACCCCTAACCGTGTTTTCCCCATAAGTTGTTAGTAGTGTGATTTTGCAAAACTCCGGGTTTTTCAGGGACTTGTATATGGTGTTAGAGCTGAAACACCTGTATATAAATAAGCAGAAAACATTACAGAGCAGCATGCAAACACAAGGGATAAAATAAATCCTCTAACTTACTCTTTTTTTTTTTTTTTAAATAAAGAAGCAGGTAATTTAGAGCTAATTATTTAAAATATATTACTTTTTTTTTTGCATGATTTTTCAATATATTTTATATAGAAAAATTCTATTTTACTATACTTTTCGTTTTAAAAAATATAGGAAGCTTGCATTCTAAAGATTTTGGGATCTTGAATACGTTTTCCGTTAAAAACTTAAAATGGTGGTTAGATTCTTGGACTAGCTTACAAAATCCTATTTATATATGATCCATAATGTAGCTGAAAGATGACTCACTTGCAACAGTATTGATATATATCTCTATATACAGACAGAGTTATATACTTTTTAAACAGAAATAAGTTATTGAATGTTTCATACCTTCATCTCTTTATCTTGTTCCATTAGATTTCGGTATGTTTAGTCTCTAGTGATAAGTGCTGTCACCAGTGGTCAGAAGTGGTGTCGTAAGAGCCAAATATATCTACAAAATGCATCTGGATTGGCAAAGATTTTTTTTTAATGTTAATACTTAATGCTGACAAAGATTTATTCTATTCTCATACATAGCTCATGGGGAAATGAATTGGGGCAGTTTTCTGGAAAGCAATTTCATAATATATATAAAAGCTTTTTAAATGCCCATGCGCTCTAGCCCATAATTTAATTTCTAGATTTTTATTTTTTATCTCATCAGCTATTAAAAGCTATAGTACCAAGACCTTTGTTGTCTGTAGTTGAAGGAGCTTCAATAGTTACTAAGTCCTGATGCTGCAGTGTTTGTATTCTGGAAAAGTGAATCACCTGAGCAAGTTAAAGCACCCTCTAAAGAAAGGCCTATCACTGTGATGTGTTGGGAGCCAAATTATTTAATTATTTAATGTAAAGCCCATGAAAGCCACTGGAGTTGATGAAAGAGATGAGACCACAGATGAAGTACAATAGTACAAGTAAATGATATGGCAGAAGCTGCAGGTTTGTTGAATCCTATGGAGAAGCTTACTGTACTTACAAATATAATGACTCAAAATTGTCCACATAGCTATAGCTGAACTTAATAGTTGTTTTGGATCTAAAAGCCCAGATCTAAAAGTCTCACAGAAGAAGCATGTATAGTTGTTCCTGTACTTGCTTTATTGTATTGTATTTCTTCTTGTTGTCAAGTGCCACGAGTCAGTTCTGACTCATAGCGACCCCTACATACAAGAGAATGAAATATTGCCCAGTCCTGCACCATCCTCACGATCGTTGTTCTGCTTGAGTCCATTGTTGCAGCCACTGTGTCAGTCCATTTTGGTGAGGGTCTTCTTCTTTTTCACTGACCCTCTACTACACCAAGCATGATGTCCTTCTCCAAGGAGTGGTCCCTCCTGATAACATGTCCAAAGTACGTGAGACAAAGTCTCACCATCCTTACTTCTAAGGAGCATTCTGGCTGTACTTCCTCCAAGACATTCTTCTGGTAGTCCATGGTATATTCAGTATTCTTCACCAACACCATAATTCAAAGGCATCAATTCTTCTTCAGTCTTCCTTATTCATTGTCCAGCTTTCACATGCATATGAGGTGATTGAAAACACCATGGCTTGGGTCAGGCACACCTTAGTCCTTAAAGTGACATCTTTACTTTTGAACACTTTAAAGAGGTCTTTTGCAGCAGATTTGCCCAATGCAATGCGTCATTTGATTTCTTGACTACTGCTTCCATGGGCATTGATTCTGGATTCAAGTAAAATGGAATCCTTGACAACTTTAGTGTTTTCTCCGTTTATCATGATGTTGCTTATTGGTCTAGTTGTGAGGATTTTTGTTTTCTTTATGTTGAGGTATAATCCATACTGAAGGCTCTGGTCTTCGATCTTCATCAGTAAGTGCTTCACGTCCTCTTCACTTCCAGCAAGCAAGGTTGTCATCTGCATATGGCAGGTTGTTAATGAGTCCTCCTCCAATACTGATGCCCTGTTCTTCATATAGTCCAGTTTCTGAGATTATTTGCTCAACATACAGATTGAATAAATATGGTGAAAGTATACAACCTTGACACACACTTTTCCTTACTTTAAACCATGCAGTGTCCCTTTGTTCTGTTTGAACAAGTGCCTCTTGCTCTAAGTACAGATTCCTCATGAGCATAATTAAGTGTTCTGGAATTCCCATTCTTTGCAATGTTATCCATAATTTCTTCTGATCCACACAGTTGAATGCCTGTGCATAGTCAGTAATACACAGGTAACATCTTTCTGGTATTCTCTGCTTTCAGCCAGGATCCATCTGACATCAGCAATGATATCCCTTGTTCCACGTCCTCTTCTGAATCTGGCTTGAATTTCTGGCAGTTCCCTGTTGATGCACTGCTGCAACCGCTTTTGAATGATCTTCAGCAAAATTCTACTTGTGTGTGATATTAATGACTTTGTCCAATATTTCTGCATTCTATTGGATCACCTTACTTTGGAATGGGTACAAATATGGATCTCTTCCAATTGGTTGGTCAGGTAGCTATCTTCCAAATTTCTTGGCATAGAGAAACAAGCACATCCAGTGCTGCATCTGTTTGTTACAATGTCTCAATTGGTATTCCGTCAATTCCTGGAGCCTTATTTTTCACCTCAGTGCAACTTGGACTTCTTCCTACAGTACCATCGGTTCTTGATTATATGCTACCTCCTGAAATGTTTAAACGTCGACCAGTTGTTTTTGGTACAGTTACTCTGTATATTCCTTCCATCTTCTTTTGAGGCTTCCTGGGTCGTTTAGTATTTTCTTCATAGGATCCTTCACCGTTGCAACTTGAGGCTTAAATTTTTTCTTCAGTTCTTTCAGTTTGCAATGCCGAGTGTGTTCTTCCCCTTTGGTTTTCTATCTCTAGATCTTTGCACATTTCATTATAATACTTTACTTTGTCTTCTCAAGCCACCCTTTGAAATCTTCTGTTCAGTTCTTTTACTTCATCATTTCTTCCTTTGCTTTAGCTACTCTGTGTTCAAGAGCAAGTTTCAGTGTCTCTTCTGACGTCCATTTTGGTCTTTTCTTTCTTTCCTGTCTTTTTAATGACCTCTTGCTTTCTTCATGTATGATGTCCTTGATTGTACTTCTAAGAGTCCCAAAACTGAGTCCCTTCGAGGGTTCTCTGGTTGCCTCTCCCTGAGGGGAAAACAGCCACTACTTGTGCTGGTCTCTTGAGGAACCATGGTGGTGGAACCCAGCATCCTGAAGGATAAACTCATGGACCTGACTCCATTTGGGAGCTAGCACCATTCAACTGGCTGAACAGTAAGTGCCTGGGTCACTACTTTTGCCTAAAACTGGCCTTGTTTACTTGCTGGGCTTGGTTGAGAATGCAATGCAACTTTCTACTTTTTCATTAAAATTGTATTTTAGGTAGGTATTTGTGAGTTTATGAGTTACCCTAGGAACTTAACCACCATTTGTAAAGTTCTGTCTTTAGAAGAAATATATACCATGGTAAAAGGTAAGCAGATAGCACATGTTCCCCTAGTCCTAGTTTTAGTGGCTATTGATTATTTAGCCTTATGATAGGAGGGCAATGTGATAAGTCAAAAAACAATTCCCTCCTAATCCACTATAACTGCTTAGTTACAGTATTAGCAGGGAGAAGGGAATAGAGAAACTTTAGTTACATCAATTTACACTATAGGACTCTTAAGATAGATCATGACCCGTTTGTCAAGGAGTAGCCTTTTCTAAGCATGGTGTGTTTGTAAATGGATAGTCATAATTTCATAATTCAGGGAGTACTTGTAACAGATGTTGAATATAGACTCAGGAAATTTTGAGGATTATGAATTGATCCTTTTTATTTGAGCAGTTGTAAAGTAACACATAATATTGTTTGTGTTTTGTAGAATTCAGATATTCCTATACTTTTCAGTCTACAACGTGTACTTCTCATTCTTGGACTGTTTTTCACTGGCCTCTTGCCCTTTGTGCCCATTCGAGAACAGTTTTTTGAAATCCCAATGCCTTCTATCATATTGAAGTAAGTAGTTTCCCTGTTTTCATCAATCATCAATTGCAGGAAAACTAAAATAAAGGCTCATTAATATCAATAGCAATGATAAAGAATAGGTTTCTATAGTTATTTCCATGTTCTGTTAGCTGGTCTGTATTAATAAAGCTTTTGATTAATTAAGATGTATTTTGTAAAATGAATAATAAAGGATTATAAGTACTTAATATGGACCCATGACTTTCTGTGCCTGTGTACTGAGAAGTCGGGTAAAAATTGAGCTTAATCGTAGATACTTAATAACTCTTCTATTGAAACATCAAATAGCAATTGCCCTTCAACTTCTCTTTTTTCTTTCTACTTCATTGACAGCTATACCTAGCTGAAATTCCATTAAACTCCAAATGCACCACTAGTATTTTTTTTAATTGTGCTTTAAGTGAAAGTTTACAGTTCAAGTCAGTTTCTCATACAAAAATTTATACACACATTGTTATGCGACCCTAATTGCTCTCCCTACGATATGACAGCACACTTCTCCTTTCCACCCTGGATTGGCAGTGTCCACTTAACCAGTGCCTGTCCCTTTCTGCCTTCTCATCTCACTTCTGGGCAGGAGCTGCCCATTTAGTCTCATGTATCTATTTGAGCTAAGAAGAACCCTCTTCATGAATATCATTTTATGTCCCATAGTCCAGTCTAATCTTTGTCTGAAGAGTTGGCCTTGGGAATGGTTTTAGTTTTGGGCTAACAGAGAGTCCAGTGGCCATGTCTTCTGGGGACCCTCCAGCCTCAGTCAGACCATTAAGTCTGGTCTTTTTACTAGAGTTTGAGTTCTGCACCCCACTTTTCTCCTGCTCCATCAGGGACTCTCTGCTATATTCCCTGTCAGGGTGGTCATTGGTGGTAGCCAGGCACCATCTAGTTCTTCTGGTCTCAGGCTGATGGATTCGCTGGCTTCTGTGGCCCTTTCTGTCTCTTGGGCTAATATTTTCCTTGCGTCTTGGTGTTATTCATTCTCCTTTGCTCTAGGTGGGTTGGGACCAATTCGTGCATCTTAGATGGCCACTCACTAGCTTTTAAGACCCCAGATGCCACTCACCAAAGTGGGATGCAGAACATTTTCTTAATAAACTTTGTTACGCCAGCTGACCTAGATGTCTGCTGAAACCCTGGTCCCCAGACCCCCACCCATGCTACTCTGTCCCTCGAAGGGTTTGGTTGTATTCAGGAGACTTCTTAGCTTTTGGTTCAGTCCAGTTGTACTGACTTCTCCTGTATTGTGTGCTGTCCTTCCTTCACCTAAGATAATTCTTGTCTACTATCTAGTTAGTGAATAGCCCTCTCCCTCCCCACCCTCGTAACCATCAAAGAATGTTTTCTTCTGTGTTTAAACGTTTTCTTGAGTTCTTATAATAGTGGTCTCATACAATATTTATCCTTTTGTGACTAATTTCACTTAGCATAATGCCTTCCAGATTCATCCATGTTATGGAATGTTTCGCAGATTCATTGTTGTTCTTTATCGTTGTGTAGTATTCCATTGTGTGAATATACCAAAATATGTTTATCCATTTGTCCGTTGATGGACACCTAGGTTGTTTCCATCTTTTTGCTTTTGTGAACAGTGCTGCAATGAACATGTGTGTGCACCCCTAGTATTAATTAGGAAGATTAACAACAATTACTACCACTACAACCAAAAACATCTCTGGAGATAGAAGAAACAGGCAGAGATAGTATGTGTAATATACTTCTATATTTACATAAATATATTTACATAATTTTCACTCACTAAATTACTACAAAGATAAAAATATATAAAACACTTAGTATTGCCCAGCAAATAATGAGCAGTAAATAAATGGTAGCTTTTATTGTTTACATTATCTGTATTATCGTTATTATTAAAATAGATATAGCTTATCTCAAAATTCTGCACACTTAGAATGTGATTTCTTGCTATAGCTTTATAATGATAACTGAGCCGTGACAAAGAAATCTGAAGTTCCTGGGGAGCTCATTTAAATGTTATTTCAACTGCATTAAAGTGTTTTTTATTCTAAAAACAAAACTTTAAAAAAATCAAGCTGAACATTAGTACAGCAGTTATTAAAAAATATTGGTTAAAAAGTAAACAATTTGATCAGTACCCTTGTGCTAGCTTCTGCATTTCATGCCTGTTTTCCAATTTGGGTTTCTTAGTAATGATCATGTTTATGTTATCTCTTCCTGTTTATATTTATTAGCAGTCTTTGTAGCCATTTCTCAAACACCTCTTGTCTACAAAGAAACTATTTTTATTCACTAGATTAAAATGATTCCTAAGCATTTATGCCTAAAATATTTAGCTTCCCTCTGGCCTGGAATAGATTATTGTGCTCACTAGATTATCTCCATATGTTCCTTTTAGAAGTGGATATTTTTGAAATACATACACGTGAACAAACGCCATAGAATTAATCTTTTCTGTAAAAAGTGACTATGGACCAGGACACTAAGAGTCTCTGCAAAGATAACTTTTATTCTTTTTACCTTTGGATAGCGATAGCAAAAAATTAGCTTGAGAGTAGTGGAAACAGAGAACCCAGCTGGGTTTTATTTTAATTCATTTTTGTCCTTTTACATACTGAAGTGCAAGGCACTGTTTTTGTTTTTGAACTTGTTCAGTTTTATCACACTGATATGTTCCTGTGTTTCTAATTTGTAATTTTATTTTGCCTCAGATTAAAAGAACCACACACCATGTCAAGATGTCAAAAGTTTCTCATCTGGCTTTCTGATATGTAAGAATTTTGGTTTCTTGATACAGAATTTATTGCTTTAGCTATATTTATTACATACTATTCTTATAATTTAGTGCAAGTTTTCCACATGTAATTTGTAACAAGGACCTGTTGAGGACCTGCTTTGTAAATGGATTTGTGTGATCTATTTAGAACCAGCTTACTAAAATCATAAAAGTTTGGGAGGAATCTTGAGAGTTAATCTCATGAGAACACTGATGTACTTGGGGTTATCTAGCTAGTTTGTAGCAGAGCTGGGCTAAGAACCCATCCCATTCTATTTATTTGCTGTTTCTACTAGCCCACAGTCAAAAACACGGTGGGAAAAAAAGTGTTTTTGGCAAATACAGTATATGTGAAAGCACATATTACTTAATAACACATTTTTCAGAAAAATATTCAGCAGAAAGCAAGAACCACCAGTAAGGGTAAGTGTCTGTTTAAAGAAAATGCTTTAATTTCTGAGACATGTTGAATTTATTTTTAGGTAAGAACCACAGAGTAATTGTGCTGTATTTTGCTTTAAAATGGAACCTTGAATACTTAAATATGTTAATAGTCCTAATTCACAAACAGTCTTGGAAAACTAGTTATATCTTTTCTCTGCACCATAGGGTTTATTCCTTTTTCTTGATTCCTGATTTAATTTCTAATTTTCAAGGATACATTTTTAATTGGATGTTAAATGCACACACTTTTTAGTTTCTAATAAGTTTAAACAGAATGGAAATAATATGTATAACTTTCCAGTTCAATTAGTTCCTGTCTTAAGTGATTTGTATTCCAGAAGTTCACTTGTAAGTCAGTTATTTGAAACGAAAAAATATTATATTCTGATATATAGGATAATGTGATTAATGGACATTACGTTTCTAAGATAGCTCACAAAAGACTAATCCGTTATGTAACTAAACTCTGGTATTATAGAATTTGATCAGAGTTTGCTGCCTTATTTTAACTTGGAAAGTTAGGAACACGTACTTCCCAGCTCTTTCTCACTCTCATTAAGGCTCCGTTGAGCTGCTACAATAAGATTAGGTTTCCTGATGATCTGGTAGGAGCAAGGAATAGAAAGAGGTTCTCTTTGCCCATCAGCAGCCAGCAATGAAAAAAGAGACTGTAGTTAGGATGTGAATATACATCCATGGCAGTCATTATTACTTGAGGCCATTGCTTATATTGCTGAAACACTGGGATTTAAATTCAACTAGGACTTACCAAACTCTAAACTGCCAGTTAGGACTAAGAAGTACCTAAATATGTTCATACTTTTCTTTTCTAGATTACTAATGAGGAAAGCTTTGTTTGACCACCTCACTGCCCGCGGCATTCAGGTAAGTTTCTAGAATGATGCACTTTGGAAACAGCATAGCTCACCAATTTAACACAAATGTAAAGGGCAGGAACTTTTGATTGACTTACTTCGGTCTCTGACTCCAGTAATGCTGCCTTGCTGACTCAAAAATAAGGAGCATGAGCTCAGCCTTACAGTTAATAATAAAGCACTGGCATTTCTGGAGCTACATTCCACCGACAATAGGTGAGAATAGCTGAAGTCAAAGGGCTGAGATCATGCATACTTAAGAAGCAAAGTGGAATTTTTTAAAAGGGTTTAATGATTTCTTAAAAGTGTAGGTTTAAAAGTTTATTTCTAAGTATGCTGCGCTTATAATGGATAAATGCTGTTATAAAAATAACTTTCTGTTTTAACATTTTTCTCACACCTCTAACTTTTAGGTGTATATTTGGGTATTAAATGAAGAACAAGAGTACAAAAGAGCTTTCGATTTGGGAGCAACTGGAGTGATGACAGACTATCCAACAAAGCTTAAGGATTTTTTACTTAATTTTTCAGCATAGAAAGAGAGGTACTCGAAGGCATTAAAAAAAAAAAAAAAAAATGAAAAGACCTAAGAAAAAAATCTTTCACCATCATTTTCCTAAGCCATTTCCAGAATGGTAAAAGATTTAATCAGTTAAGTTTTATTACCTCATTTTTAAGCCTGTCTGAGAATGTAGAAACTATATGTTGTATATTTATTTTAAATAGTATTGCATATTTTAAATTTGTAAATGATTTGTTTAGAAAGATAAATGGTTATGAGCTGTAAGTAGATTATTAATCAAGATTTCTGTATATGATGCAGTATTCTACTATTATAAATAATTCCGAAATCAAAGACTATTGGGTAAATTTGGCATTAGCTGTCACTGGAATAAGATCGACCATTTAGTAAAACAAAATTATTGAAGGCCATTACAACTGTTCTGAGTTGTCTCATTATTTCTAGGTACATCTTACTTAAAGCAAGAAAAACAAAACAAAACAAAAAACAGCACAAGGAGAGCTTGGAAATCAGTGGAGTAGTTATCTGGCAAGTTATACGTTGTTAATAGAAGGCAGGCTCAAAGAAATAACTGAAAGTATATTACTTGATCAGAATAAAGTCTGTAGATAGTAGACCAAGATTGGATTTCTTGGCTGCTGTTGTTAATGGGGATATTCTATTTGAAATCTTTTTCAAGTGTAACAATGCTACCATGTCTTAATAATGGACTTAAAAATGGACTTATCAATTGTAAATTAAGACAAGATCCAAATAGTCATATTTTTATGTCTTTCTAAAGAAATGTAAAATTTCCATTTTTGGCAATGACTGTTTGGGCCTGCATCTAGATTTTAAATAACATCTTGAATCCTAATAATAATCATATTAAGCTGATGAAAGTGTGTATCATTGTTTCTAATACTTATCGTATAAGCCTCCTGCTCCTGATCTTTATGTCTAAATTTATTCTTCTGAGTATTTAGTGGAAATAGAATTTCCCAAAGCATTAGACATCACTTTCTCAACTTTTCTGATGTGACTTCATGTAAATATATTTTTAATCTTTTAAAATAATTTTTATGATTTCAGATTGGGAGTTAAATGTAATCTAGAATAACTAGTGTCTTTTACCTAGATTGTATCTCTCATTTTGAGTTTGACAGCTAAATAGCTATGAAAGATGATCACACTCTGCTATCTGTCCCTAGATGATGTAAATAACATTTGCTTTTTTGTTTAAACTGAAATAAAGTTTTCCAAGAACAAGATAAGGGTTCTTGATTGTTTTTCTTACAGTTGCAACTCCAAATATACTTAGATTTTTACAAAACTTAATAAGGTGATGAATTTATAATATGAATAAGTAAACCTGAGATTTTGCTCTAGCATAAGGGAAGTAAAAGAAAATATGGAAACCCTTTTATGGTAAGGAAGTTGCCTTTTGGCATTTGAACAACTGGCTTTGGCAGGTACTCCATTAAATCAGTCATTTTCATACTATAGTTACAATCGCTAGGAATCATTCTGATCATCTTTGATATAATTCTTGTTATTTCTTTCCAAGTTTTTCTTTGTGATTTAGAGTGGTTCGTATTATAGGTATAGCATATATTTTGTTCCAACCAGTAAAAGATAAGGTACCCAGGATGGTAAAGATGTTTAGAAAGTCTTGTTTAAAAAGTATGATGATTTTATAGTCAAAGTGATTTTAACTCAGTAAAAGTATAGTACCTATAACAAGGCCGTTGATACTCATTATCAGATAACAGCTGGAATAATGCTTTATTGATTAGGGCATTATACTTTAAAGACAATAAATATCTTTTAATCTTGAGATGGATATGACTAGGCATGGTGAATAGCATGATGGGGAAGTGGTCAAAGGTGTGATTAGATCCTTTTGGTGGGATGAGGCTGGTACTAGATTTGACAGACCCAGCTGTAGTCTAGTTCAGCATGCCAATAGTATCCCAAGTACATGGCAATGGACAACAGTTGGCAGGTAATTCAGCAAGCAGTTGGCATTAGGAGTTTTAATATGAGGAGATAATTGGATTATCTCTGTAGGACTAGGGTCTTAGGCAGGTTACCAAGTCAAAACAGGACACACTACAGAAACTAGGACCCAGGCCTGTAAAGAAGCTTATTTAACAGAACTGAAGATCAGCGTGATACACTATATTGATTACAGGGGTAAATTGGTGCTGAGTCCCAGAGCTTCTTAAACCTCTCATTTCTGGCCAGGACTAGTTCTAGAGATTGAGGTGGAGCCCTAGCTGCACATGGGCATCTAGCCACAGCTGTGGATAAAGAGTGGCTGTGGTTGGTTGAGAAAAGTACAGAACATAAAACATAAATCATAGTATGTTCCATTGTGGGAAATTATTAACATAAAACACAATGTGAATGATTCTGCATAGAGTTGTGCTACACAGTGGCCCTGGAAAGGGTCCATTTAAAAAAAAAATTGTCAAGAGAGATCTGTCATAGATAAGAGAGTGCCAACTGAAGGAAGGCTGCATATGCCAGGATATTCTGAACTGAAAGCCATGTGCCTCAAGTAGATGGATAAATGTGAGACATTAAAAGCAAGAGCCAAAATTGCTAGGCAATAATATGACAATCATTTTAGTACTAAAAGGAAAATGTAAATAGTAGTCTGGGACCAGGCACCAAAATAAGGTCAGATCTGAAGCACACAGATCCAAGAGTCAGAGAAGAGATCAAAATACTAGGAGATACCAAGGCAGTTCATAAAGCCACTAGTGATGTTTAGCTTCTCTGCCTCTTTTGTAATGTTTGAAAAGTTGGGTCATACTATTACCTGAAATAAAGATACAAACCCAGACTAACCAGGCCAGAAACCAGGTCAGAAGGCTAAATGGATCCGTAAAGATCTGATTGATATTAGATTGCACAAAAATTAATTTGGCAATAGTGTACAGGGTGGAAGACTTGCAACAATCCAGGCATGAAACAATGAGGCCCCATATAGAAATAGTGGTAGTTTTATTGGGAAATAGTGAATCTATGTATCCCTGTAAGGGAAGAATTAGTAAGAGTTAGTGACTGGATGAGCTTAAAATGAGAAGGGAAAGTAATTTCAAAGCTGCAAGAAAATGGGAGAACTTAGAGAGGGGAACCAGTTTAGTGGTAATAAGAACTATGGGCGTACTTTGAGTTTGAAATGACAAAAAGAAATTTGAGTATCTATGCTTTAGATATGTTAGCCCTTGGATGTAAACCTTGGTTTAGACCTTGGAGAGGTGTGAAGAAATAGGTTTAGGAGTTTTCTGTACTTCGTAGGTATGCATTTGCAAAGCTAGAACTTTAGAGGTGATACTAGTTCCTTCTCAGTATTCTACTTGCAATTTGAATGTAACAGGCCACCAGATGCCTAGGTTGTGAATATCATGGTTCATACCTAGTGAGGCTAATTGAGCATAACAGACTTTCCTTCACATTTATGCCTTTTTCTTTCAAAAATAGAGAACTCTGTTATCAAAAAGAAAATTCTGATTAGTGAGTCAATTAAAGTTAATAGGATTTATTGAGTAAGAAGCTGTTTGAAAACAGGGAGTGTCCAAGCCGAAAGTGTCAAGGGGCTCATTTAAGCAGTGCAAGTATGAAGCTTTTAAAGGCAGGAGATTTCTAGTAGGGAGGTTACAATGATTGGATCTCTAGGTATGTCTTTAATTGAAGGGGAGAGTCTTACAAAGCTAGAAGTCTGAATTCAAAGAGCTGGCTGGAGGGGATGGCTTTCTCTTTCTGTGGGCTCTGAAGGAAGGTCCTTGTCTCTTCAGCTTCTGTTTCCTGGTTCCTTGGAGATCTCCATGTGTCTTGGCATCTATCTTACCCTGTCTCAGCTCTGCTTGTCTGTTTAATCTCTTTTATATCCCAAAAGGGATTGATTCAAGATACACCATACACTAATCCTGCCCTATTAACATAAAAAAGACAGCCTATTCCCAAATGGGATTATAACCACAGACATAGAGGTTAGGATTTACAACACATATTTTGGAAGAACACAATTCAGCCTGTAACAATGAGTCAGATACATTTTTAACTGTCAAGTTGTTTTTGCAGAAAGTTTCTACAGTTAGAACACTGAAAAGTTTTCTATTATTCTGTCAAGGTTTGTACCTGGTACAAAAGACTATTTTGATGTATTTGTTCTTGGAAAGATTTCGAACCTGGCACAAACAGTCATTAATTTTTAGTTAATATTTAGCACTATCAAAACAGGCTTAATTTTTACTCATCATATTGTTTATGAAAAGAATACAAATACCCTAATCTTGTTTGTCCAGTAGATTTTAAATTTAGTTTCTCGAAGCTCTAAGAGAACAGGGCAGGGCCTAGACAGCATCTGCTGGGTAAGTGGGGATGGTTATGCTCAGAGGAGGCTGAGCAGGTGTGACTGTGGGTTATCCATTCCCACTTCCAGAGCTGCTTCACTTTTCTGCTTCATGTAGGAATTCCACATAAAATTTTAATTAAAATAGGACTCTTCTCATTTAAGGCTATACTAACCAAAGAACCAACCCAGATGCTGTTGAATCCATTCCAACTCATGGTGACCACATATGCTTCAGAGTAGAACTGTGCTCAGAGGGTTTAAAAAAAAAGAGGAGTCTTCTAATTTTTTGTCTTTTCTTTTATAATAAATCTTTGATCTAAGACATTTTCCCCCTCCAGGCTTGAATAAAACCTCCCTCCCTCCTTTCTTCCTTCCTTCTCTTCTTTCCTTCCTTCTTCCTTCCCTGTCTTCCTTCCTTCCTAGTTCGCTCTAAGCCTTTTTAATTCAATAAGTTCCTCAACTGTTTATGGTCCTTTCTGGTCAAAAAACTTTTCAAGAAAAGGGGGAGTACAGGGAACAGGCATTAAAAAAAAAAAAAAAAAAAGTACGTTTACAAAAGTAAATGGCCACAAACATGAAAAAAATGTTTAACCTCCCTAGTAATCAAAGACCTAGAAATTAAAATGACATTGAATGATATACCAATTTCCAACTCTCAGATGCACAAGAATGAAAAATGTCCATTGCTGGTAAGAGGCATCGGGAAATAGGCCTTCATGAACCATTGCTG